CCTTCTAAGATAATGAAACAACAGTCTTACCTTCGGGAAAGGACTATAAACTCCTTAAAAGAACCGTCAAGTCACTCCATTAGGTGGTTCTTGAGAAAACCAAGGACCACCGGTGACAACGTCCCTAATATCGAGCATATATCAGGTACCCGATAGGTATAGAAAATATTTTATATATATATCGGGTATCCAATAAGTATAAAAAAATATTTTTTTACACCTATCAAGTACCCGATATTAGAAACGTACCATGCACATATCGGGTATCCGATATGTGTATTATTTATCAATTTTTGACCATATAAATACAAATAATAACTATCAAAATGATATATTATGAATATTTAACATAAACGAAGGTTATTGATATGAAATTACTACGAAAATAATAATATTTACAAAATTTCATATATGAAAATATCAAAATTGAAACCTTCAAAAGTTATCGATATGAATTTATTACGAAAATGATAATATTGTAAAATTTTGCACATGAAAATATCAAAATTAATAATCTTCAAAGGTTATCGATATGAATTTATTATAAAAATGATAATATTCGCTATCAAAATTGATAATCTTCAAAGGTTAACAAAGACTTTCAAAAGATAACATATTGAAAAATAATGAAATACTTATATTAACATTAATTTTCTAAGGTTTTCACTAAAAAAAATTTCCTAATATTGAAGTATTAATAGCTGATACCAATATATTTTTCTATAATGCCCTTAAAATAAATTTAAATTCTATTGATTATTTTAAACTTACTTAATATGATCTCAAAGCTAATATGATAATTGTTGATGATTCTGTATTAGTAAAAAATCTGGGCAAAGACAAATACAAGTTTTTTTAGAACCATATGAGAGTATGAAATGCGTCCTCTCTACCTTCATTATTTCAAGATATAATGAATTTTTAAATAATTTCAATAGAGTTGATGTTCTGAATGTGCTTAGAAATATTGTATATAACAAGAAATGGAAAGAGGAAAGATTAAAATTAATAGAATAAACAAATTATATATTATATGTACTAATTAAAAATTGATAAATCATACATATATCGGATACCCAATATGTGCATGGTATGTTCCTAATATCAGATGTATATCAGGTACTCGATAGGTATAGAAAATATTTTTTTACATTTATTGGGTACCCGATATATATATATAATATTTTCTACATCTATCGGGTACCCAATATATACTCAATATTAGGGATGTACTATACACATATTAGGTATCTGATATGTGTATGATTTATTAATTTTCGACCAGTGATGTTCTGTACATAGTTATATTTTGTGAAATGTAAATATCCAAATATTTGTTTCAAAATTACATTAATTTATAATAAATTTTATTTTCTATCTTTATAATAAGGAAATATAAAATAATCCAGTATTTATAACTAGTGAAATATAAGACACTCAAAGTGAAGAGACTTATATTATAAATATTATTATACCTTTACTTCAAACTAGTCTAAATGAGCTTCCTAATGGTTATATTTTTCTAAGTACTACTAAATATCAAAGTAAAATAAGTAATACGTGTAAAAGTTCAAGATCAAATAAAGAAAGATCAATATACAAGACTCCAATAGGAAAAAAGCTGGATATTATGGTTATAGCAAAATATGAAGGTAAGATTTTTGAACTTGCTTATATTGAATCATCACAAATTTATTGTACTAGATCAAAAAGAGAAGATAATTTGATAAAATTATGAAGAGAGATTTTGAATGGTATAAGTTTTATAAGTATTATATGTAGGCCAATAAATAATTAATTTGATATTGTTGAAATTTAAATAACTGGTGAAGATCTATATTTAAATATTTTAATAAAAGATGAGATACCAAGATATTTTCATGTAGATCAGGTAAAAATACCTTTTACAAAAAATACTTCATGACATGTAGAACCCTTTATTTATTTATTTTTAACTCTTAGAAATATTATGATTATAAATCAAAGCTTATTGATATAAGTTCTAGAGCAAGCCAATACACGTTCATCAAGAAATATTATTTAAAGTTCCACAATAATATCTCCATCCTATAAATAGATAGATTTTTATTTTGTATTTATTATGCAAAACATGTGCAAGGTCCTATATATAGACATCATATATTTTATCATGTATTTTATCATATATATTTATTAATAAAAATTTTTAGTCTCATGAAATGAGGATGCTTTGTATCTAGAGAGACATACAATATATCATGTATTATTTTTTGCATAAGCTTTTAGAATTATATATAACAGTAATTTTTCTAATCATGAAGATTTTTTTCACAGTTTCTATCACGTGATTTTTATTAATTCAAACTTTTAAATAAAACCACTTGTTACATATGCATCATGATACAATCAAGATTTTACAAATTCGATATGGAAAAATATATAATTTATTTATAATGATAAAATAAGATAATTTCAGAAAAACTGAACACGCGTGTCTGGACACAGTAATGTGATACAGTAAACACGTTTTTATTGATGTGTAAAAAATATGAACACAGTATATTCACGAAGCAATCATTTTACATTTAAAACTCCAACAATCACTTGATCTATATTATCTAGAGATAGATTAAAAATAGACCTTGCTAGAATAGATTGAATTTGTGATCCCTTGTCAGGTTAAATTTTGAGCAAATGTTCTTTTAAACAATATAGTAAATCAAGAATCAAACATCTGTGATCCTTATTAGCATAGTCATAACTAAAAAATATTATTATAGTTAAATTATCTGGAGGAAACCCTTTTTTTAGGAATTCACAATAGTCACTACTCAGAAATACCTTGTAAAATACAAATCTTGTTCCAATAACTTTTGTTGCATAGATCATTTGACTCTCTCCTGCTATAGGACTAACTACACTGCTAAAATTGATAAAAGCACATGCGAGAATTTTAACTGATATTTGAGATTCTCCATATTCTGAATAAAACTTCAAAGAGTGTAAACGGTTATTCTCATCTATAAAAAGAACCTCCTTATTCTTCTCTATGCTGAATTCAGTTTTAGTAGTCACTTCTTTATCAAATACACTAAAGCTATAATCCAATTGCAATCTCATTAATAATGGATTTATGTTAAATTCTAAATTTGAAAGAAGAAAATTGACAAAGTTATCTGTGAATGTCTCCCAAATGCCTGTAGTTAGACTATCATTTGTAATAACTTCATTAAAATACCGTGCAAATGTTTTTTCAAATTTATTATTTAATTTCTTCAAAATAAAACTTCCAGACTTTGCTAACAACAGATTATCTTTCGTAAAATCACCTATAAGTAAATCATTATTTATCTTAATATTGTCCGGAAGAGAGTCGAATATTTTCTTTACTAAATAAATATTTTGGTAGTGCATATTTAAAGCTTCTCTATGAATCGGGAGAAAAAGCCTTGTGTTATTTGGTAATCAATTAGGATCTTTCAATTTACCCTTCCCAAATTTTGAACTGGATTTTGTTTTATAAAACACTTTAGTACGAATAAATTTTCTTCTAAAGATAGAAAATAAACATGAATTCATATTAGTTTTTTAAGGGTAAAGTCTATGCCTACATGTTTATGCAGGTCTATTTTTTTTAAGTAACACAAAACTGATCTTAATTTCGGTCAAAAATTTTTAGAATTTATAAATTATTTTCAATCGTTATTTCAATTGAAATTTATAAAATTATTTTCAATTGGGAATTATTTATATTTTATTTATTTATAAAATATTGCCAACTTTGTATTTTGCATTTGCTTGTATGTCATGTACTACACTAACTACAACAATACTACTAAATAAACCAATACTACCTTTATTTGATCTTTGTAATATAATTTTTTCTTGAACTAAACCACAAATCACTAAATCTAATAATGCAAATAAAATTAATTCTTTAGTTTTCAATACTTTTTTTTTTTCCATTGGATATAATATAAAGTATTTCAATTTTTTTGTTTTACTTTTGCTGTTTTTCCACTTCTAAATATATCCATTATATCATCTGAACTAATTTTTTCATTTTTTTCTTATATAAGAAATTTTATTATTTCTAATAATTTTATTATTTCTTCTTTTCTATCAACTAATTTTGATTTCTTTACAATTCTATTAATATAATTATCACATTTTCCACATATAGGTGGACTTTCTTCATTAGGCCATGCTTGATATTTTCAAATCAATTGTTAATGACACTCATATTGAGAATTGCAATAATATAAGACCTCGAAAATTTTGTTAGATGCTTGTATAAGTTTATTATTCAATATTTGATCATTGACTATAGTATTTATAATAGATTCTCTATCAAATAAAAATAATTTAAATAATTTATAAATTAAAAATATAACAATTACAATTATATAAAATAATTAATTTGTTACTTACATTTCTTTATATTCTGTTACTATAGAATAATTAGTACGAATATCTTTTTTATTGTAAAAAATAATATGAGTTACCATATTTTCATCACGTCCTACATGTCCAGCTTCTTGAATAAGATTTGCTATAAAAATTAAAAAATAAAATAAAAAATTAAAATAAATAAATTAAATAAATAAATAATAAATATGCATACTTATACTCATGGGTGTTCTAGTACGTATATTTTTTGAATTAATTTTTATTCCAAAAATAGATATTGCAACTATTATTTGAATGTTATTTGATTTTCAATTATTCATAGTTGTTTCTCTTTCATCATCTCATAAACCACCATGAAAATAATCTATTAAAATATTAGATAAATTTTTTTACAATTTATTAAATAAAAATTTACAATTGAAGTGAGTTGGACAATATATAATAATTTGAGAATGTAAATTTTTATTTATTTTATCTATAATATCAGTAATATACTGATCTTTAATTTCTTTTCACTCTTTCACATTGAAAATTATTTCTTGTCTATAATTTGTAGAACCACAAACTAATGTAAAATTATTTTCATCAATAAATAACTTTTCACAAATTTCATTTACTTCAGATCTTGTATATATTGCTGTAAATAACATAATTGGTACCAATTTCCAACATTGTTTTAAAATTCCAAGTTGTCCCCAAGCTTTTCTATAAAAATATAAATAATAAATATTTATTATTTATTAATTGTAAAATATTTACCTGAAATCTTGATAAGATATAATACAATGTGCTTCATCTATAACAAATCGAACCATTTTTTGATTATAAAGTTATATAATGAATTTACAAAATCCCTCATTAGATACAAGTTTTTCTGAAGTTATAAATAGTATTTTTATCAATTTAATTATATTTCTTCAAAAATTTTTTCCTGAGTATTGCATCTTGTGCTAAATTAGCATATAAGTTACACATGGTATATCAGCTTTTATTAATTCCCTCTAAATAAAAAAAAATTTTAGAAATAATATAATAATAACATAATAAATAAATTATAATCATCTTTTGATCTTCCATAAGTACTTTGAGAGAATTAAAAACAATTGTCAAACCTTCAAAACAAATAGCTAACAAAGCATAACATAAAATTTTTCCTCCACCAGTTTTTAATTCTATAATTTTAATTATCTCATTAGAAATCAATTGGAACTATAGGATAACTTGATAAAAATATAAATTCTATTATTTAAAATATCTTAATTATTACTATATTTAAAGTTATAATTTAATATTTTAATTTTAAATAAGAGTCAAAAACATAATAAAATTATTAAAAAATATTAGTTTATTTTTGTTATATATAAAAATATTTTTATTACTTATGAATTATTGAAAATAATATTAGATAACCTTATTCTAAAAAACATAATGCATTTATTATAAAAGTTTAAAACTTTTAAAAAATAAATTGAATAAATAATTAATAAATTTATCAAATTTGTATTTTAAAATTTTAAACTTTTATGGTAAATATATTAAATTCTCTAAAATAAGATTACTTAGTATCATTTTCAATAATCTATAAGCAAACAAAATACTTTTATATATAGTTATAATTAATTGATATAAAAAAAATTCTCAAGATTAAATACAATTAATTTAATATGTTAACTGATTGTAATTATAAATAAAAGTACTTTTTACTTATAAACTATTCAAAATAATATTAAATAACTTTATTCTAGAAAATATAATATATCTATTGTAAAATCTTAAAATTTTTAAAGTTCAAATTGAATAAGTAATTAGTAATTTAGTTTAAAATCATTAATTATTCATTTAATTTATTTTTTAAAATCTCAGATTTTTATAATTAATATACTATATTCTCTAAAATAAAATTACACAAATTAAATATAAAAGAATAAACATACTGAAAAGAAATTTTGATTTTAGTTACTTTATAATATAGTATATAATAAGATAATTAATTTTTAGTTTTTTTCTATAATATAAAAATTCTAATTTTTAAAATAGAAATTATTATTTAATACAGTAATTTTTATGTATTTGACTAGTATTACTTATTATAATTTTAAATAGTTTATAAGAATAATTATTTAAAATTATAACTAACTAATTAAGACCTTTACATTAAAAGGTAACTAATTAAAAGGAAATAAATTATAGAATATTATATTAGAGATTATCAAAATAAAGAATAGGACAATTAAAAAGTTTTGATTTGTTTCTGCTAGAAAGTACCAAATTGTTACTAGTTAATCTTTTAAATTAATTTTATTTTCAAAAAGGTAATTTACAACTAGTAACTTGTAAACAGTTACTTTAGTTTACAAATTGAAGAGATAATAAAATAATAATTTTAAATTAAATACTAAAGCTAATTAAAGAACCTAGAAATTTATGATTATGAGAATTAAGTTATTAATTAAAGATTAAATTTTAGAGGCAATTTAAGAAATTTGAACAACGAGTTAAATATATTTGTTAATGATTTATAAAGTAATAACAGAAGTTTATTATTCAAAATTTATATTTGAAAAATATATATTAATAAAAAAGTAACAGAGTTTTAATATAGAGAATATAAGTTTATTATAAAGAAAATCAATAATCCAGTTACTTTAAAATTATATGAATATTAATTCAATTACAGAATTAATTACAGTTGAGATTACTTTTTAATTTTATTATTTTAAACTATTCAAATCTAACTTGGGATAAAAAGAAAACTCATACTTTTTATATTATTTAATTTAATCAATAATTGTATCAATCAGTTGATCACTAAATTGATTAATCAGTTGGCTACTAAATTGATCAGTAAAATTACTATAATCTACATTATTGATTTACATAATTTATATTACACTAATAAATAGATACTAATTATAATTAATAAATAAAATATATTAAATAATTATACTAACAAAATAAATAACAAATAAGAAATAAAATAATAATAAATAATAAAAATTATTAAAGTGAAGGAAACTTATAGTAACAGTAATCTTTTTTTTGGATAACTTGTCTACCTGTTTTTTTATTTTTTATTTTAGAGGATATATTAGAGTTAATTAAAATTTAAATTAATTTTAGTATTGAACTAATCAATTATTAAAAATTCTAACCAATGAAATTATTTTTACATAACTAAAAGTTATTTCAAATTTACTGAAATTATATAAAAATTATAAAATTTAAATGCTTATAACTTTTTATATAGGTATTTTATCAAAAATCTAATCAGTAATTTAATAGATTATATTCTGAAGAACAAAGTTACCAGTTTATTTTTTTTTAGATTTTTTCTTTTTAAAAAGTTGATAAGTTTTAAAGTGATACAATTTTATTGTCAAGTATAAACTTCTGGTACCATATTATAAAAGTGTCAAATTTTAAATTGTTTTATTATATCAAAAATAATTTGAACAATATACTTAAACAATATTTTAAACTAAATTATTTTATTTGATTTCAATAATACAAATAATTATATTATTAGTTTTAATTATTTAATTAATAGATTTTTTATTATAACTTCTATAAAAAATTATTACAAAAATAAATTTGCAATAATTTGTCTTGTTTAATAACTAATAGATAGAAATAACTTGTATTTTTGTAAAATTTTTTAATTATACTGTTTTTAATCTTCTTTAGTATTGTTAATTTCTTTATATAAATAATAACTTATATATATTTACAATTATTTTCAGATTTTTAAATTCATTTAACTTATTTTATTCTTTTAAAAGCTAGTATTTCAGATAATATTCATTAAATCTTCATCAGTAAAAATAACTTTTATTATATCTTTCACTTTATTAATTTATTTTAAGTTTAATTTTTACACATTAAATATTAAATTTTTTTTTGTATATTACTATTGATTACATGTTCATTTTCTGTTTTATCATAAAATGTAAACAAAATATGATTAAATTATTCAAATCATGTTTATATAAAATGAATTAAATTAATTGATTCAAATTCAATCTGAATTGAATTATTAATAATAAAATTCCAATTTATTTCATAAGATAAATTGAACAAAATTCACATCTTGTAATTTATCTTATAAAAATTTCACAAGTAATTTATATTATATAAACAGGATACTATTTGAATTCAGATTGAATCTTAAATTAATTCAATTCAAATTCAAATTTCTATATAAATGTATTTACTCTGTTATAATTATTTAATTATTTACAACCAATTACAACCAATTGTATTATAAGTTATAATTAATTGTGATACTTTTCAATTTTCTTTTTGAATTATAACAGGTATTATTAGTAATGAATTTTTTTGTTTTTATTGGATATCATATAATAATATACAATATATATATTTCTTAATGGGTTAACAGAATTTATTTCATTAAACAATTTTAGTTTTATCTCTAAGATTTTTTATATTAACATTGATATCTTGGACAGCAATTAATTTATCATTTCAAGATCAAAAGAATGTTATCAATTATCTCTTTTATAACTTTTCTAAAGAAATTAATTGATTTGAATTTAATAATTTCAATTTCAAGAGTACAAGAGAGATTTTCATCTATTACTAAATTGTTTAAGATAATAGTTGACATTTGAAAAATAAGGTTAGGTTACAGATTAGGTATTACCAATTGATAATCAAGTAATAAATTTTATGAAACCATCTACAAAGTGTGATTTCAGGAAATATCCAAGTGACAAGGTAATAAGATTAATAATATTTTATTAAAAATAATTACATGAGATTGGTTTTTTGAAGAATGAAATATTTTCAAAAATTAAATCATCTTTACAATTTAGTTATTTATGCGTATAACATTCATAATAATAATAATAACCGATAACCAAAAAAAAAGTCACTTTAGCTATTAAAAAATAACTTTATCAATTTATTAACAATTTTTATTATGTCAGCAATAAAAGCAGAGAAAAGTCAGGAGTATTTAGTGTCACCAAGGGAATCGCCAGAAATATCTATACATGTATAAAAATACCCCACATTCAGAGTTTTCGAAAAAACAATTGTTGGTTTCTTTCAAAATTGGTCCTTTCAAAAACATTTCAAGCGTTGGATTTTATTTGAATACTACCTACCTTCAATTACTTGTATACTCTCCAAGGTATGTACAATACCATTAGTTGATGTTATTGGGTTTAATTTAATGTAAATTCACGACTGGAGTTTTTATGTTTCAATTCTCTTATGAAGAAAAAAAAAATGAGACTCGCGATCACGACAGAAACAGGTCAACTCCACAATTTGGAAGTGGATTCGCAAATCGAATTAGAAAATATCAAAGCATTAATTGAAGCCGAGGTTCTTAAAAAAAAAGTTTTGAATTTTTGATTTTTTTTTTTTTTTTTTTTTTTTAGATAAATATTATAATAATGTTAAATAAATCCTTTTCTTTTTTTTATTTATTTAGACAGGAATACCACCAGCGGAACAAATTCTTTCACATTGCGGACAAGTAATGATGGATCCAAAAAGAACACTTGAACAATATGGAGTAGTGCAAGATGAAATATTATATCTTAAAAGAGATACCCCAGCTTCGGTTGCCACGTAATTTTTTAGGTTTCATATGAAATAATTAATTAATTATGGGAAATAATATCACTTACCACCGGATCGAAATTTATAAAATCTTATTATTATTATTATTATTAAAATAGCGAAGCACCTGAATTAGAACAATTGCGACATACATTATTGAATGATAATCAGATGATGCAACAATTACTTCAGGTAAATTATTTCTATTAATGAGAGTAATTCCACCACTATATACATAAATATATATATATATATATATAAATACACACACACACATATATATGTATTTTATAGGCTCAACCAGATCTTGCCAATGCAGTAAATGATCCTGCTCGATTTTCAACATTAATGCAACAAATGGTACAACGAGTACAAGACGGACGGTTAAGGATGCAAGAGATCGTAGGGATATATTAATTTTTTAGAATCGCGTGTAGTGTTAAAAAACAAAACAAAAAAAATAACACATATTGACATCTTAAAACATTTTAGAATACACTTAGTACAGATCCTTTCGACATTGAAGCTCAAAGAAGAATTGAAGAGGAAATAAGACTCCAGAATATAAATTCTAATATGGATACTACTTTAGAATATTATCCTGAGGCTTTTGGTCGAGTATGTAATAAATTATAATAATTATTTAGATTCTGGTTAAATTATAGTTAATCATTATTATTATTAAATTAATTTTTAGGTAGTAATGTTGTACATAAATGTTGAAGTAAATGGACACCCAGTAAAAGCCTTTGTAGATTCAGGAGCTCAAGCCACTATTAGTAAGTATAATAACTATTAATAATTTTAAATCGAATGTATATTTCGAATAACTCAATTTTATCAATTTACATTAAAATTTAATTTCAGTGAGTCCTCAGTGTGCAGAAAAATGCGGGTAAAAAAAAGATATACATTTAAATTAATATATAAATTTCGCGTACATGTGTGTATATATATATATTAAAAAATATTAAAATATAAATAAATAAATAAATATATATATAGGATTATGAGATTGGTAGATACCAGATTTAAAGGTATTGCTAAAGGAGTGGGAACTGCCAAAATTATAGGTCGAGTTCATAGTGCGGATATTCGAGTTGGTGAAGATATGTATTTAGCATGTTCATTTACAATTATGGAGGTAATAAATAAATTAATTTATAATAATTAAATGAATAATTTAAAAATGAATAATGATAAATTAATAAATTAATAAATAAATTAATGATGATGATGATGATGATAATAATAATAATAATAATAATAATAGGGTCGTGGAGTTGAATTATTATTTGGATTGGATATGTTAAGACGTCACCAGGTAACTATTTTAATAATGTTTAGTGTAATGTTAATAATGTTGAGAGAAGTAAATTTAAATATTTTAAATTTTACAATTTTATAATAATAATTAGGCATGCATTGATTTAAAAAAAGATATGTTAATCATTAATGGAAAAGAAATTCCATTCTTGCCGGAACATGAATTACCGGAAGATGCAAGAAATGATGAAACGAGTCCCATTAGTCCCACTTCAAATGAAATACCTGGTCATCCATCAACATCATCATCATCATCACCACCATCAGCGATACCAAATATTCCAAATATTCCAAATATTCCAAATACAGTTATGAGCCCTTCAAATTCGGTGTCTCCTGCCGTTGCTTCTGCTACTTCTCATTCAGATCTCGCATCTTCTTTAAATCACGCATCATCTTTAAATCTCCCTCCTTCAAATCTCCCTCCTTCAAATCTCCCTCCTTCAAATCTCCCTCCTTCAAATCTCCCTCCTTTAAATCTCGCACCTCCTTCTCAATCTTCTCGAGGAATAAATAATAATTCACCGTCTCCTCAAGGTACTTTATTTATATTTATTTATTTATTTCTTTTAAGTTATTTAAATTATTGAATTATTTAAATTATAATTTATTGTAGTAACACAATCACAATATTCCGAAGCAGACATTTCTAGTTTAGCTTCAATGGGAATTTCACGAGCAGATGCAATTAAATTATTAGATGCTGCAAATGGTAATGTGGAAATGGCAGCTAGTTTATATTTTGGATAGTATGTAATTAATAATTATAATTTTGTTGTAATAATTATTATTATTATTATTTTTATTATAATTATTATTATTTTACTATAATTATTATTATTTTATAATTAGTATTTTATTATTATTATTATTATTATCATCGTTGTTGTTGTTGTTATATTATTGACATTAAACATTTAGTTTTTTTTTTTTCAAATAATTATTTATTATGTATGGTTTTCCTTTTTTTTTTAAAAAAACTTTAGATTAAGATTTACATATACATACATATATGTACATACATATATATATATATATACATATAGTAATATTACGAAATACTCTACAAAAAATAAATTATAAAAAAAATAATAATAAACTACAAAAAAAGAATAATAAATTATGAAACTTGATTCATTTTTTTTTCTTCAGCAGCAACCATTTCTTTCCATTGATCCGATCCTGCGGGTAGTTTTGCCTCTCTTTTATCTGTCATTGAAACACCAGCACTCGCGAGGACCATGACAAGTGTCAAAGCTTGTGCAATCATACGAGCCTGTACCACCTTTTGAGAAAGGGTTAAATATCTAAAGCAAAGCACATGACATATTAATTAATTTAATACACAATAATAATAATAATAATAATTAACTAAATATAAAAATTAGAAACATACCTATTCTTTGAAGTGTAAGCAATTGATCCAGCCATAGATAAAACCCAACTTCCACAAAGAATACTATATCTATTATCTGAAATAAAATCTTTGGCAGCTTTAGTATATGAACGTTGCGGATCATGATGTTTGGGAGCTTCATAATGTCCATATTTCTCTCTTTCATATTTTAATCCAGCTTGTTCTGCTAAAATTATAGTAGTTGCTGTTGTTCCTGTAAATGATTAATTGTTAATTAAAGATGAATAATTGTTAATTAAAGATGAATAATTGTTAATTAAAGATGAATAATTGTTAATTAAAGATGAATAATTGTGATTAAAGATGAATAATTGTGAATAATTATGATAAGAAAGAATAATTATGATTAAATATGAATAATAGTGATATTAAAGATGTGATTAAAGATTAATAATTATGATTAAAGGGTGATTAATAATTAAGGTGAAAAAATTAATGAAATTAGTAATTATAAATTATTAAGAATTAATAATTATAAAGAAATAATTATAAAAAAAAATTATAAAGAATAATAAAAACCTGATGAAACTAGGAATGCTTTTACAGGTAAAGTTAACCCTTGAAAAAATCGAGAATAACGATTTGCCACAACGGCCAGTCCTAAAGTAACACCTAAACCAATAGCTCCACCTTTTATACCACCTTTAATTGTGGCTTGATAATGCTCTGATTTTTCAAATACAAATTAATGAAATAAATAAATAAATAAGATAAATGAATAAGATAAATGAATAAGAAAATTGAATTACACATTAATTTATTATACCATCTTCTTCTTGTTTTGTAAGAACTTTCATATTTTGAAATAATAATAATAAATAATAATAATAATAAATAAATAATAAAGATATATTTATATTTTTAAGGTTAAAAAAAAAGAAATTTATATAAAATATATAAAATAGGAAAAATATTTCGCACGTGAAAAGTTTCTCACGATTAGATATTTGATAACGAACCTATTCCTATTTTAATTATGTCATATCGTTACATTTTATTACTCATTATTACTAATACTACTACTACACTACATTACATAATTTAAATTAAAAAGCTAATACCTAAAAAGTTTGTTTAAGATCTTTTATTTATTATTGGAAGATTTCATCATCACACGATTTTTTTTTTTTTTGAAAAAAAACCGAATATCGATCTACAAAGCATTTTTTTTTATTTTTTTATTTTTTTAATATATGTATGTTCGGTGATACATAAAAAAAAAAATTTGATCAACTGAAAAATATATAATTAAAATAATTACTATAATTTCTGTCCCAAACCTTGTCTTTAAATGAATGCCTCAATAAATGATAGAGTAAATGAAATAAATGAAATAAATAATGATGATAAATGAATAAAAAATGAATAACAAATGAAAAACAAATGAATAATAAACGTAATGAAATGAAATGAAATGAAATGAATAATGATATAAATTATGAATAAATAAATAAAATAGACAACGTGATAAACATGAATATAATAACATGGCAAATATGATAAATATTTATAACTTTTGAGACAAAGAAAAAAAAAAAATAATAAACAAAAGAAGGTGAAAGTTAATTGAAAGTGATGGAAAGTAATGGTATGGTAAACGGTGAAAGTCATGCAAAAATTAAACAAATTGGTAATTTTGTACTAGGTGGTGTGGTGTCTATTGTTTTAGTTTAATTACGACGTTATTCGACGTTCAAACATTTTTAACATTTATACTCACGCAAAACAACCTCACACACACACTCACAACAACAACAAACACATAACATAACATACACGCATATTCACGCAACACTCGCATGATATATATTTTACTAACTACATTAGACTCATTAATACATATAATCAAATTCAATTTATTATTATTTATTTATTATTGTCATTATAATTCTTGTAGAAAATAAATATAATAAATTTATAATTGATATGTCAAATGAATTGACTAAAATTACTTTTCTTTAAAATTTCATGATACAAAAATCCGAAGCAGGAAAATTTAACGAAGAGAGAGGAAGAAATTTTGACAAAGAAAAATAAAATAAATAAATAAATAAATAAAGTTTCCAAACTGACTTGAAACGTTTTTTATTTTTATTTTATTTTATTTTTATTTTTATTTTTTTTTTATAAATATTTATTATTTTTAATCCATTTACCAAATTACCATTCTTAATTTTTTATTTTATTTTTTTTTTAATTTTTAATTAAATAACGTAAATAATAAATAAATAAATAATAAATAAATAAATAAAAAAATTTCTCGCCTTCCTTTTAAAGAATATTAAAAATTCAAAAAAAAAAAACTAATAAATATTATTCTTTCCATACATTTCCCATTCAAGGTATGCCTCGTGATATTTAATGATTATGATAAAAGATTATAAAGATAAAATTGATAACAATGTAAAAGATAAAGATAATGATGAATGATAATAATGATAATAATAATAATGGTCGATCACTCAAAGTAAGATAACTATTATAAAAGTTTGTTTCATTTATGATATCATCATGTATTTATTATGTATTTATTATGTATTTATTATGTGTTAATTTTTTTCTTGTATTGTGTATTTATTTGAGAGTGTGATGTGTATCAATGTTACATTGTTTACATCATGTCCATCATGAAGAACAAATGGAGATAAAACGTAAAATAAATTTTCTCTTTCTTATATTATTCGTGGTAGTAATAAATATATAAGTAGATAATATAAATAATATAAGTAAATAATATAATATATATTCTTATATATATATATATATAAGAATACATAATTCTTTCAATTAAACACAAAGAACCACGAGAAAAAAAAACCTGCATGGAAAGTACTGATTGGACTTTTTTCTTCTATGTTATTATAAATGTCTATTATGATTTTATTATTATTATTATTATTATTATTCTTATAATAATAATAATTATAATAAAAAAATAATAATGTTAATGACAATATTTTAATGACAATATTAATGATATCATCATCAAACAACAACAACAACGACGACAATAATTTCCTTAATAAAATCTTTTTCTAATAATTTTTATTTATTTCCGACATATAAATTCTTTCTTTCTTTCTAATATAAAAAAATTAAATATTCTAATAAATCTATCTAATGAAATATTCCTATAAATCTTTTTCCGTTAAAAAATTGAAAAATTCTTTTTTGGGGATAGATGATATCATGAGAAACGTCAATGACATAATCAAAGATCAAAAAGATTGAAATGATTAGATATACCAATAAAAGTCAAAGTCAAAAAAGAAAAAACGTAGGTAAGTGTGTATCGTGTCACGTTGTAAAGAAAATGAAATTTATGGTTGGTATATACTTGTTACTGTACATACTTCACATTACAGTTATGTGATGATATTCTTCCTACATATTTTATTTTTATTTTATTTTATTTTATTTTATTTGACTTTTTTAACTTTTTTTAACTTTTTTTTTTTTTAATTAAAATTTTTTTTTTATTATTGTGATAATTAAAAGAATCCCACGACATATGATATAGATATAGATATATATATATAGATATAATACGTCTCAGAAATTTCTAGGGTTCATAAATATTTAATAAAGTAAAAGTAGATACTAAAGCAACATATTTCTACATTCCACATTTCCATTCTTTATTCAATGCACATTCTAAATAATAATGATAATAATAATAATATCCTTTGACATATTGTTTTATGAGAAGAATCAACAAATAACTTTTAATAAACTTAATAACCTTTAATAATTTATACCAACATTGTGAAATATCTATACATGGAATTTTATGAATTATATTTATATAATTTATAATATACATAAACTTGCTTTTTTTTTTTATTATTATCAATTAAAAAATTAAAATTATCAGTTAAAAATTATCAATCAAAATTGATGCAAAAGATGCAAATGCACTTAATCAGAATATGTTTTTTTTTTTTTGTCATTTATGTTAAATTATCATAAATGAAAAAGATAAATTAAAATTTATGCTTTTTTTTTTCAAATCACAATGCTTGATTGATCAATACATAATTTTACCTGTATTGTTACTTCAGTATAAATGTAGAATAAATTAGTAATAAGATATGGTGAAATATGAATATGGTAAAATATGATAAATATGATAAAATATGATAAATATGATAAATAAATAAATAAATAAATAAATTAGATAGGGAAATAAATAAATAAATAAATGTTTTGAATAAGGAAAAAATATAATACAATATGAAACAAGGGTTTGAATAATAAATCAATAAAAAATTCTTTTAAAAAAGAAAATAAATGTTTTGAAAAGTCACACGGGTCGGGTAAATTATAAAAAATTAAAAAAAAAAATTAAGGATTTCGGGGGATTGTTTTAAGTAGAAGAAAAAAAAACCCCCCAAAATTAGATTGTCCCATTTTTATCACCTTGCTTGGTAATGACCGATATTTTTGACCCCAAACCGATTTTTTAAAAATAAAAAAAAAATCATGATATCATTTTATTTTATGTAATATAAAATATTAATAATTGTAATTATAGTTATTGTTATTAATTATAAACCTGAATAATAGATATAATTACTATTATTACTAATTATTATCATTATTATTTATTTATTATAATAATAATAATAATTATAATAAATAATTTATATAGTAATTAAAGCTTTTTATAATATACATTGATAAATGATTTCATTTTTTTTTATATATATCTAAATAAATGAACCATAATAAAGATTTTTTTTATCCCTTTAAAGTATGATTAACTTACCCAATACCCGAAATGCATCATGAATTTTTTTTCGTATAAATACTTTTTGATATTTCTCTTTCAAAAAAAAAAAAAAAGAAAGAAAACTCAAGGAACCAAAAAAAAAAAAACATATCTAATTTTTTTTATCACAGCTTCTTTTTACAATAAATAAATAAAAGAAAATATTCTTTAATTATACAATAGATAAATAATATAAGTAAGTGTTGTTTTTTATTATAATTATTTATATTACATTTATATCATAAAAATAATTAATAATAATAATAATAATAATTATTATAATAATAAAAAAGTAAAATATACAAAATATATACACAATAACAGTATCTCCCTCTATTATTATTTATTATTATTATTATTATTGTGTGTGTGCAAAAGATAATCCGAATAAATAAATTTCAGTTCAAAGCATCTAAAAAAATTACTTTATAAATAAAAACCATTTTCCCCCCCTTTCTTATTTTTTCTTAACAATAAACAAAACGTTTTTTGTTCCTGTCTGTTTTATTATTTTTTTTTTTAAAAAAAAAAAAATCCTTTTTTCCCAAAGACTCTGAAATTATTTGAATTTCGTTCGTCTTGTTGAACAAGGACTATATTCTTATTCTTTATTTTTTTTGATTATATATATATATATTTTTATATATTATTACGTATAAATTATTATTTCTTTTTTGAGTTTTATATAAGATTTTTTTTTTTCCAAAAAAAAAAAAAAAAAAAAAAAAGAAACTCATTATTTTTGTTTTTACTTCTCTATTCTTTCATTACAATATTATTATTAGTATATTTTTCTACTTTTAATTTATCAAACTTATGACCGTTCTTACCGGTAGCAACAATTTTATAAATATGCCGTTCATTGAGCAATCATACGAAAACCTTCAAATGTACAACAACGACTTTTCTTCCGTTGATTACGAATATTATCAAAAACCTTCTTTGCATTTACAAGTTCCTCCTCAACCACCGCAACAACCACAAGATCCATACGCATTATTCCCAATGTCTGGTTCTACTTCACCTTTACAATCCGTATTGGTACCAGTATCTGGTTCAACTTCACCCGTATCGAATGTGTTGTATTCTTCTCATCAATATAATAATATTAATAACAATAATGAAGGTTTAAATGATAATAATAATAATAATAATAACAATGATAATAATAATAATAATCATAATAATAATAATAACAGTAACAACAACAATAATAATGTACAGATCAAAACTGAATTTGACTCGGGATATCAAAGTGGATTACATATGATTGAAATGGAATCAGGTTCAAGTGCTGAATCATCTCCTCATGTTGTTGCATCAAATGAATTCGAAAGTTCTCAATTTAATTATAATTACCCTCCTGGACTTTGTGGTGATGATTCTTCAAGTGAAACTTTATCTTCAGCTACTTCACCTACTGGACCTGAATTCAATTTTGGTGATTCTTATGGAGATATTAATCGATATTTTGATGATCTTTTAAATGGTGGTGGAAATTCATCCCCACAATCTTTTACTGACCAAATGAGATTTATTATTTATGAACCTCGTCCAATTAACGATAATGTTTCTCCCTTAGTTCCAAATATTAACAACAATAATATTAATAATAATGTTAACAATAATGTTAATAATAATATTAACAATAATCTTAACAATAATATTAATAATATTGATGCACATAATACTTATGCTATGCAACCAACCATATGGTCATTACCAATTCAAAATAATAATTTAGATAATTCAATAATGACATCAAGAACAACTACAACACAAGGACATGGAAGTATAGGACAAGGAAATATAGGATGTGGAAATATAGGATGTGGAAATATAGGAAATATAGGAAATATTAATTCAATTCCATTTGATTATACTCAAAATCAAGTTTTAGTAGTAAATCCTGAACAAATAAATCCTCTTCCTTCAACGACCACCACCACAACCAATACTTCCACTACTACTATAACGACATCATCTTCATCATCTTCTTCTTCACCTACATCTTTATCTCAACAACCACCACCACCACCACCACCACCATCATCATCACAACCACAACAACCACCTCAATCATCTCAATCAAGTCATCATCATCATCACCATCAACAACAACAACAACAACAACAACAACAACTTATAAAATGTCCACATGATGATTGTCCAAAAACATTCACTCGGTTATATAATCTTAAAGCTCATTTACGATCTCATTCACCTGCTCGACCATATCAATGCCCAATGTGCCCACGATCTTTTTCACGAAAGCATGATTTACAACGACATATTAGAGTTCATACTGGTGTTAAACCATATCAATGTCCATGCTGTCATAAAGCATTTGCTCGTACTGATGCTCTTCGTCGGCACTTTAAAATGGAAGAAGTTTGTCGAAATTCTCCCGAAGTTCAAAACATGAAAACACGAAGACGATATTCGGATTTACCTTAGTTCTTTTTTTTTCATTTTATATAATATCTTTTCTTTATATATATATATATATATTTTTTTTATGTTTATTATTATTATATAATATTATTGGTATTATTACACAAATGTCATCATTATTATAACATTTTCATTTTTACATTTCTACATCATTTTATATCTTTTTTAAAAAAAAAATTTATTTTCGTTTTCTTTCTCTTTTCTCTATATTTCTCCTCTCTCAAAATTTAAAAATATGAATGGTTTTATATATGTGTGTGTAATTCTGGTATTTGGGGATGGGAAAAAAATTTGAATAATTTTATATTAACGGCGGGTGTACGGTGTGGGGGGGTTTTAATTGGGTTGGGTATGGTGAATTATTTTTACGAGTGTTTTTTTTATATAATCATTATATATATTCGCATTTATAAATATATAAATACAATTACATCTTTTTTTTTCCTTTATTTTTACTTCCCCCTTCAAAAAAAAAATAAAAAATAAAAAACGAACAATTGTTTTTAAAGTCATCTCTGATATATATATATATATATATTTAGATGATAATTTATTTTTTCGATTTCGTCATTTTTCACTTATAAATCTTGTGTACATTTTTTTTTCATTTTCACCACACTTTTATTTTTTTTTTCATTTTTCATTTGATTCCAAAGAAATAATAATCATGATAATAGGCATAGTGATATACTTTCAATGGAATCCCCTTTTTTTAAAAAATTTACAATCGAACGAATTACATCTTAATCATGACTTAATATATATATATTATAAAAAAAAAAAAGAATTTTTTATTATTATATTCTTTTCTTTTCTCGTACATTTATTTTATATATTTTTTTTTCTCTTCTTTTAATGATTTGATGTTTTCTTTTTTTTTAATCATCACACTCACACACAAAAACAAAATATTATATGAACAATAAGAAGATTACGAAATTAATGTTTTCTTTTCCTAATATTATTAATACCACTTTATCATCATCATTTTTTTTCTCTTGTATATACAATATAGACTTATTATATCAAGATTTATAAGGTTACGTAAATAAGCAAAAACCCAAGATTTCTTTTTTTTTAACATAATTCATAAATTTTTTTTTTTCTTTTTTTTTTTTAAAAAAAAAAAAAAGAATCATCATCGAGTTTGATATATTTTTTTATATATAAATCAGAAAAATTCTGATCTATTTTTTTTGATATATTACATTTATATATATGTGTATATATATATATTTATTTATTTAAATATATATATCTATATATTTATATTTTTTTTTGCAAAACAAAAAAAAACCAAAAAAAAAAAAACCAAAAAAAAATAATTTTATTTTTTTCTTTTATTCGGATTGATGAATTTAAATAAAATTTGAGGAACACAGCAAACAAAATCAAAAATTTCGTGAATTGGCAAAAAAAAAAAACGAGTCTTTATTTTATCAAATGATTTTTTTTTTTATTATTATTTTGATTTTGATTTTTTTTTTTTACAATGATTAAAAATGTTATTATCTATGTATTGTTGTTATAATAACGATAATAACAATAATAACAATATTTGCGATGTAATAAAAATAATAATAATAATGGAATTTCTTTTCCTGGGATAATTTAATTAAAGTTTCATTTTTTTTAAAAAAAAAAAAATTTTTTACAAGAGCGAACAACATAAAAGTAAGTTGATCTGGATAATAGTAATGAATTTAGAAGAAAAAAAGAAAGGATTTTATTCGTCTTCACATCACTTTGCTTGCTTTTACTTGGTACTACCCTGCATACACTATATAAAATAATAATATAAAAAAAGATTTGTGTGAATCAATTTTTTATCTAATCATGTGACACAATGTTATCTTTTGTGAAATCAAAATGTTTGAATCGAAATCTTGTTGTTTATGTATGTACGTAATGTACGTTATGTATGTATCGTAACAATATAATATTTTTTTTACATATTACGCAATAAAAAAAAAAAATCATGCAGTAATAATTTTCTTTTTTTTTTTTTAGCAAAAAAATCGTTACACTTTTTTAATCTAATCTAATTATAAAAAACTTTAATTTTCTTAGATAAAGGTTTTTTTTTTTTTTTTTATTGATAAACTATTTTTGAAATTTTTTTTTTGAAATTTAATAAATTTTTTTTTGATTATCTTTACCCGCTATTACTTTCACTAAACTACACTTTATATTATACTGTAAAAACGATTTCATACTGTACTATACCATTTTAAACTATAATTTATCTTTAAAACTAAACTATTCTATTAATTACTTTTGTGTTGTGTTGTTTGTATTATGTGGTATGTGTGTGTGTAATGTGTATGTGCGAAAGGTATATCATTGTTATGTGTGACAATAAAATACTTTTGGTTAGATTTATAATATTTGACGTTTATCATATTTTTCTGAAAGGTGATGAATTGTATAGTATGTATAGTATGTATAGTAGGTACGTTGTATACTTTTATATAATAGTTTTTTTGTATACTTTGAATGAATGAAATTTATAGTGTATAAAAACAAAATAAAATAAAATAAATTTGGGATGCTTGTAATTATATAATTATATGTATAACACGCAGTTTTAGAATATGGATAAAAAAATTCAATGATTATTTTTTACTTTTTTTAGATTCAAAAGAATAAATCTTTGTTATCTTTGTTTCACATGGTTTTTTTTTCATATTTTCTTTCATATATTCTTTCTTTTCTTTCTTTTCTTTCTTTTTCTTTTTTTTTCTTGGTAAATGACACATACATACATTATCAAAAAAAAAAGAAATGTATGGTGCGTATAATTAGTAAGTCATTTTTTACATATAAATCATAATAATGGTAATGATGATGACGAAACACTTGTAAGAATTAAAAAAGAATTAAAATTAAAATTAAAAAAGGAAATCTTTGTCATTATTATAATTATTATAAAAAAAAAAAAATTGGTAATTGAGGCAAGCATTGTTATAACATTTTATCACAGATTCATTCATTAAATTATTTTTAAAATAATTTGAATTTATTACAGAAAGTATTTTTTGGAAAAAAAAAAATAATAATAATAATAATTCTAATAATATATTCATTTTTATAAATCTATTCAAATAATTAATTATACTAAATTTATTTTAATAATCAATTCCATAATGATCACTAATATAACTAATATAACTAATTATACTTAATATAACTAACAATAATATATTATGATAACCCCCCAAAAAAAGGATTAAATGCATGTATGATTTCATGCTTAAAATGAAGAAAAAAAAAATTTTATTACAGAATTTTCTAGAATGAATCTAAATATTTCTACATCATTCCATTTTCCATTTTCCATTTTCCATTTTCCATTTAAAATAAATAAATAAATGTTCTATTATACATTTCTATTTTTACATTTCTTGGATAAAATAATAAGAAAAGGAAAAGAAGAAGAGAGAAAGAAAGAGATTGGAATTATTATGTAATATATATATATGTGTACAATTTACCCTAATTACTCTCATTACATAATTACTCTAATAATTCATAACCAGTTATAGCTATATTTATTCCATATTTATTCCATATTTATTCCCTATTTACTCATCATCATTATTATTATCACTTGGTTTTTTTTTATCACCTTTTATATTTAACCCCTTTTTATTTTCACCCTCTTTTTTTTTTTTTTTTTTCTTAAATTATATTTAGCGAATAAGTATTAAATAGAGAAACGTTCGTCATAAACATTTAATATCCATTACAATTATAAAATTATTACATTCGCTAGTATTATGATTATTCATGATTACAATGAAATGTTATGATGTAATACATGTAACAAAAAGATCATTCATAAGGACGATAATGTAAAAGAAAATAAGATAATAATAGGAAATAAAAGTGACCAGTAATAAAAAATTTGAATACAGTAATAAATTTGAATACAGTAATGAAATACAGTAATGAAATACAGTAATGAAATACAGTAAGTAGTAAATTAGAGAATAGAATGAATCGAATGACATTACATCAACGAATAAAATGTCATCTTACTCCAAAAAAAAAGGATATTTTAAAAAAAGTTCAATCTCTTCAAAAAAAAAAAATAATAATAATAAAATGACTTTAAAGTTACAAGTTATAAATACAGTAATTACATTATTTATTTATAAGATAAGATGTTTAGGGAGTTATATTATTGTTATTGTGGTTTGTGATTAACAGTTAATGTATGATATGAACGAACATTGTAACATTGTAATATATAAATAAATAAGTATTATATATATATAAAAATGTATTGTGTTATTATTATTTTTTTTTTGTTTTGATTTTGCGGGGTAAAAGGAAATGCGAATAAAATTTATTGTTATTTATTTATTTATTTATTGAGTTATCTCTATTAAATGAGATTATGTATTGAGGAAATTGCAATTCATGCTCGCTGATAAAGTTTAAAAAAAATTGATGATATTAATAATTAAAATATTCATATAGTAAAATTTTTTTAATTTACTGATAAAAGGTTATTATAAAATGCCATAAATGTATAAATGCTATTTAAGTTACTTGTTTTAGTAATTTATCTCGACGATATTAATCAGATTATTGGATGTAAATGATTGTATAGTTTAAATCCTGTATATACATATATGTACATATATTTACATATATAAATATATATATATATATAAGAATAAATAAATTAATTAATTAATAAGTAAATAAATTAATAAATAAGTAAATAATAATAAACAAATTAATAAATAAAATAATAATAAAATAAAATAAAATGATATATATTAATGAATTCAGGAATTCGGAATCAAGGGTCTTCACAAAATGTATATATAAACACAAATATTTTGATATAATTTTGATTAGATCGAATTACATTATCAAAAAAAAAAAAAAGGAAAACTTTATTCAAGTGCGCATATTACTGCACCACACATACATCCATTCATTATATAATTCGATGTATTGGTATTACTTCATATATTATATATATATATATATATATAAGTATTTGTAGGTGTATTCGTATTTCTTAAAAATATTTGCTGAGTATTTGTTTTAAAGTATTTGTTTAGTATTTCTTTTTTGATTAGTAAGTTTTAATTATCCATCAAAAAAAAAAAATAATCATCAATCTTTAACTCAAAATAATAATATTATTATTGAGTTATAGAAAAGGGATACAAAAAAATGCAATAGAGATAAAACGCATTCAATCATTCAAACCATCATTAATTCTGCATAAATGACATAAACGTTATACCAATAATCAAAGAAAATTATTATAGAAATTTCTTATTATTGTTTTTATTTGTTTTTTTTTTTTTTTTTGAATTTAAATAATATCATTAATAAAATAATTATAATAATAAAATAATAATAATAATAATAATAATAATAATAATAATAATAATAATAATAATAATTTAAATAAATTTATATTTAAATTACACAGAACATTCCGTGAATGATATCATTGCGTGTACTTGATAAGGAAGGAATTTCTGTCGTGTATGGTTTAAAAAATCATTAAATAATATTATATAATATTATCATTATTATATAAACTATAATTAACTGTATATTATAATTAAAATTTATATTATCATTATATTATCATTTTTATAATTATTATTATAATAATCATAATAATAATAATAATAAATTTATATGATTTATAGACATTATAGAAATCAACTTTTATGGTAAAAAATATTACAAACAATCAATAATGAAACATGTTATTGTTTTACCAAAATCACCAATACCGATTCTTTCCTTCTTTTACTTTCTTTCTATTTGCCTTTTCTACTACATTAAACTAATCCTGTAAAAGATAAATAACAACTAATAAATAACTAGTTGACTCGTTAATAATAATAATGATAATGTAATAACTGGCTCTACAGTTTATTTGAGTTAGCTTATTATAATAATAATAATAATATTTTATATGATAATAATTTATATAATAATCATTTATATAATCATTTATATATAAATTATATAATGATAAAAAAAATCATTCGACTTCATTCAAACGATAATAATGTAACCATGAGATTTTGACATTATTTATATATAATTACATAAATAATGTATAAAGATTATTATTATTATTATTTGATACATAGTAAAGATTATTATTATTGTTGTTGTTATTATTCGGAATATATTATTTACGGTACATGAATTATTATACGGTAGATAACATTATAATTAATATTATTAATATTATTATTATATTAGTCACATTGCTAAATGAAATAAACTACAAACAAATTAAACGAGTTAGTGAATAAAATAGAAATAATAATAAAAAGAAACTACGGTTAAATTTTTAATTTCAGGGATCAAATTTCTAAATTTCTAAATTTCTAAATTTCTAAATTTCTTAAGCATCACAATTGTACAATAAATTGGATAATAATAATAGTAATAATATTTTTTTTTATCATATAGATAAATATTATTATTATCAAGTTATCCGCCAAGATTTATCAAGGGTTATTTTGTTTTTATTTACCTTTTATTTACCTTCTTTTATGTTACCCTTTTATTTAACCTTTTTATTTTTTAATTAAAAAAAAATCATAATAATAATATGAAACGTGTACGTGTTTTTGACCTTTAAAAGTTTTTAACATCCAGATCACTTGTAGCGGTTATTTTTTTGTGGCGCTATTATTTCCATATATAATATCCATATAATATCCATATTATATAATATTCATATAATATCCATATCGTATCAATACAATAGAATTAGAATACAAGTTTTTTTTTTTTTTTTAGATTGATAATATAATTATTAAAGTCTCCGAATAGATAACTTAATAATAAATAGAATTGATAATAAAAGATGATGATAAGATGAAATAAGATGAAATAAGATTGAATAAGATTGATGATTGGTTTTAAAAAATTTCTATTATTATTTATTTATTTCCAAGGAATATTATGAAGAAATCTGGGTAACACATTAATTCACTAAATCCACTAAAAAAAAAAAATTCATAACATTTATAACCATAATAATAACATTCAATTATCACATCAAAAAAAAAAAAAAATACCCTCACCGAAAAAAAAAAATTTGACCTTTACCAACTTTTTTTGATACACCCTCTTTTTATATATATGGACATATCGGAAAATTCTTATTTCTTATTACAAAGAACTAAAAATAAACTAAAAAAAAAACTTGTGTTCACATTAAAATAATAATTAAACTTGTGAATGAAAAATTCGTCCTACCATCAAAAAAAAGAAAGAAAAAAAAAATAAATATAAATTGTTTTTGTTCATTTAATAATTCAAATTAAAAAAATAATAATTATAACAATTAATCCATAATAATAATGATAAATAATGATAAATAATAATAATATAATAATAATAATAATAATAATAATGATAATGATAAATAAATAATATTGTCGTTATTCTCGGTAAAAGTTGGGAATTTTTAAGATAATATTGTTCTAATTTAGTTTAAACACTGGTTTGTCATTTGATTTCTTATTAGATTTCTCATTAGATTTGACTTATTTAGATTTACTCATCATTAGTAAAATTTTAAGTTTTGAATCATTTAAAAAAAGAAAATACAAACACGCGCTTCACACACTACACTAAAAATAAGTTTATCGATTTATTTTTATATACATATATTATTATTATTGAATCATCATCACACAATTAATTAATTACGTTAATTCATTTATTGATTGATTGTCGCCGACAAATGATAAATGCAGATTATTAATTACTATTATTAAAGTACAAATGAGAAATACAAGAAAAAATACTTTTTCCCCCCAACCCCACACACTTATAATTTCCTTTTCTTGACATTTTTTTTTTATTTTTACTTTCATCTTCGTTCTCCTTGTTTGAAGTTTTTTTTTTGCATACCGTAATAATTTTACAATATAAAGTATAATTTGGAAAAGTGGGATTTTTTTTTGATTTAATAATTTAGCATAAAAGTAACAATAATTTTTGAGTGCATACAAAAAAAATAAATAAATAAATAATAAATTCATTCAATACATTATCAATACGTTGCAAAGCTGTCACCAAACACGCTTGCCGTCGTTGTTGTCAGTGCGTTGTCTTTGTTGTTGTTATTGTTGTTGTCATTGTAAATCTAGAATCTTATGAATATTCTTATTTATTATTATTTACTATCTTTCATTTATTATTATTTCAAAAAACAAATGTAAAAATATATCTCACAACACATATATTGGATATTGTTATTTTTTTTCGATCCTTTCTATTCCATTTCTACCTACCTATATCTACATATAATGATTACCAAATTAATTAATTAATAAAAAAAAAAAATTTCTTGAAATATGTATAATATGCATATTTGAAATAGAATTTTATTTTTAAACTATAATTTGCTTAAATTCGATCATTATCTAACTATGAAAAATATAGTGTGAGAAAAATATATAATAAATAGTATGAAAATGATATAGTGTGAGAATATAATATATAGTGTGAGAAATATATGGTGAAAATGATATTGTCAATAAAGACAAATAAAAACAATAAAGAAGAATAAAGACAATACAGAGAATAAAGAGAATATTACAGAAAATAAAGAGGTTGGAGATATGAAAAATATGATTTATGAAATAAGGGGAAAGAGAATAATAATCTTTATTTTTTTTTGATTATGCTGTCACACAATTACGTTATAACATGCAAATGTCCATAAAAAATAAATTCTATATTTGGAGATGTAAATTTTGGTATTTTTATAATTTTCTCGAATATATGCAAATATAATAATAATAAGAATAATAATAATAATACACCTGAAATAACAATCAAGTGACACAATGAACATAAAAAAGTTAACAACACAACATTTAAACAAAATGCATAATTCACAATTGTAATTGTATTATAAAAGAATTACCAATTGTAGAATTAACTAACAAAATGCACACTGAAAAAAAACAAGGTGTCTATAAAAAAAATTAGCGGGTCCAAAATTATAGTTTGGAGATTTTTATCTGATGTGGTTATACAGGGGTGTTGACTTGTATTTTTAAAATTTTTAGGTGTTTTTTTTTTTAAAAGAAAAAGTGACACGATGATTAATCCAATTTGTATAATTATTTTTCCTCCTTGTAATAAGCCATCAGATGATGTCCTTTCGTTTCAAATGACAATTAAACCAAATTTAATTCTTTAATCGTAATTTTCATCGGATTCAAAGATTAAATTATGGCCAAAAACAATATCTACAACTTTATATACGATTTTTTTATATATTTATCAGATGCTTATCAGTGCACAGTGCACTTCAAATGAAATTAACCAAAAATGTCAAATCTGATTTTTTATCGAAATATTGATAAAATACCAAAAATAGATGCCAATCAACTGTTACAAAAAACATATGTAAAGAAAACGTTCTAATACATTTTCCCAATATTTTGTATCACAAATATCAATATTTTCAAGATGATTTAAAATTGTTATATCAATTGAAACCCCCCCCCCCCAGAGCGGCTACAATAAAGAAAACATCAAATACAAGACTAATATATAATAAACAAATAACTCGTCTTTTTTTTTTGAACTTTTTTAATAGTTTCAACGGCAATAATATATTCATGACGGTATAGTCATCAAAAGAAATATTTGATGTAAAATCTGATATAGCATGTTGCGAAATATTTTGAGCAATACTTTCAACATTTTGTTCAGATGGCTGTACCGATTTTCTTCTTTGGCAGATACACAATTCACAATATTATTCGATGGAAAAAATTTCACCATTCATTTTTATTGAACAATTAACAATAGTTTATTTTTTATAGTAGTAGTCTTGTTTCGAAGTAATTTCCATGTCAGAAGTATTCAAATCATTCCGTGGTGAATAAAATAATAGATAATCATTACTCGAAAAACTATTTACCTTTTCTGATTTTTCTAAAGTAAATTTAGATTTATCGTTGGTACTTTCAACCAACATTTTCTCTCATGATGTTTTTCAGTTAAACGGCGATTATTGACGGGCAAATTTACTTCGGTCGTAAGCACCTGCTGTTTTACCTAATCAAAAAAAAATGTTATTTCCATTTTTTATTCAGATTAGAAGCCCACCTTCTGAAACTCGATTTTGAATTGTGTACGATCGTTCTTCCATTGGTCCAAACCTTAATAAGATAAAAACTCTTTTCCAAGTTATCAATGTTTTTTGAGCGTTTTCTTATGCGTCATGTCAAAACAAACGAGAGCTCGAATCTTTCACCTTTTTGAGATGGATTTCTAATTTTCTAATTTAGATAATTCTCTACAAGATTTACACAAGTTTAGTTTTTAATCGTGTTAAGTTTAAGGTTAGTTATAAATGTTTGGTTAGTGTTAGATGGGAACGGGGATTGAGGATAATTCATAGCTAACAAGTCGATAGTCATTACTTTAACGCATCAAAACTTCGATCAGCTCGTACAAAAAAATCTTGAGTCACAAAAGTGAAAACACGAAAAAAATAATTCTTAATACCTTTTCAGCCGAATCTTTATTAATACAAATAAATAAATAAAAAGTACATAGGCGGACTATCCATCTATTAATTTTTCTTTAATTATTTATTGGAGAATACGATAATACCAATTATCCATTTTACACAGTATCGTTTTCTTTAATAGTTACCTTTGAGAGATTGATTTTCTTTAATAGTTATCTTTGAGAGATTGATCTGGCATTCATGGTTGCTAGCATTAGACGTATGTATAAATAAAAATAAATGCTATTCCATGGCTAAAACCAAAACCCGTTGATTATATCATAAGACTAATTAATATTATATGCAAATCAAATGAGTGTAATCTTTAAAATGAGAAGATAAAGATCAAACGAAAAAATAAGATAAACATTTTAAAAAAAAAATTTAATCTAAATGTGAACGTCTGGGTCTCGAGGATTTTTCAGAATCAAGAATTTTATCCTTGTGAAGAATCATCACTGAAAAAGCAAGTAGCGTATCAACAGTAATTAGATCAAAAGGTGTTTAGTGCCAGGTGATGTTACTAAATTAAATAAAGTATCTATTTTTGGTGATACTGTCCCACACCTATTACGAGAGGCCGTGACTTGATTGGAAATGAGACAATAGCTTCGGTAGTAGATACGAGATGCGTGAGAATATACAAGATAGATTAAAAGTAAAATTACTAAAATTTGGTTTTTGCCATCATTTTAACAATTTTTATCTGTAAAATTTGATTTCTCCGGAGGAAACAAAAATTCACACGTCTAACATGCTCTTCGGATAAACTTCCCAATTCGCTTTCATTATATATAAAAATAATATTATTAATATTCTATAAAAAATTAAATCATCTATTTACAAATACACGAATAGTCAAATATAACAGAGTATAATTGTGATCATGTAAAAAGAATATCCTGATTATCGTGATATATTTAAAATATAAATTGCAAAAAAAACACTTTGAATTTAGGTGGACAAAGAAATTAATTATATCTTGATTTAATGATTAATAAAATTAATTATATCATGGTTTTAATGAAGGAAATTTGGAATCTTGAACATATATACTGTACCTGTATCGCAATTATTACATGAGCAAAGTTAAGGGTTACGCATATACGTTATGGCGCATGGGCTACTTTATTGGTTGAATTTCGTAAATTTTTATCATATGACTACATGCAAGGGTTAGGGTTAGTTCAGGGGTAAAATTTGTCACTCTGCGTCACACGTGCTGAATATCAATTTTTATTATAAATATTATAAATCCTGGGAACTTAGAATTTTTTAGCATTGAAAACCATATTTGTCACTCCCTTATCTGTTACCAATAAAATCCATACACCAAAATGCAAGTGTATTAAAAAACAAAACTTTGATTTTTAATTATTAAATTTTAAAAAGATATATCAGGAAATTTTTGGAAGTAAATATATTCAGATATTTTTCAGTTTAGAAAAAATCCAGATAAATTTGTGAATTTATGCAAATATATTTATATATATTTGAATTTTTTCAATTTTCAAATATCTGGAACAAATATATTCAGATATTTTTCAATTTATAAAAAATCTAAATAAATTTGTAAATTTATATAAATATATTCATATATATTTAAATTTTTTTGATTCTCAAATATATTCAGATATATTTACCCATCAGGAAATTTTTGGAAGCAAATATATCTGAATATTTTTTTATTTAAAAAAATTCAGATAAATTTGTGAATTTATGTGAATATATTTACATATTAAATTTTTTGATTCTTAAATATTCAGATTATACTTGTATGCAAAATTATTTTAAAATTTTAAAATTGTAATTTTAAGAAAAAAAGATAAAATAGTTTTTCATAGAAGACAAAATTATTTTACTTAAAATCTGAAATTTTTTGACCATCTATATTTATTTTTTAATTGAATATACACATAACTGAATACTTTTTTTACTTCTATATATAAAATATATTCTCATAAATCTCAAAAAATCGAAATACTTCAAAAATCTAAAATTAATTTTGGGAATATGTATAATTCAGATATATTTGAAAATTATTTGAAAAATTCATAGGATATTTAATGAGAAATGATATTGAAATTCTATTTTTAATTTTTTGAAATTATGATCTTTAACAAATTTTTAGATAGATAAATATCTATTTAGTTTTAAAAAAATTGTTAAATAAAAAATATGCTAATAATTTATTTTGTTCATTTAATTTCGCAAATTTATGTTTTATTTACATTATATTTATTTTTATTTACATTATTAATTATTTTTTTTATTAATTATTTTATATTATTTATAGATTATCATCATTTTCATTATTATTATTATTATTATTATCATTATAATCATCATTATTATTACTGTCATTTTTTTTGGATTTTCTTTTATTTCGAAAAGTTATGGTTTATTTTATTTTTTTTTTTTTATTTATTATTTTTTTTAATCTTACTTGTTAATACTACCTGTTGGAAGAACAAGAGGACAAGTATAACAAGTACTTGATTTAATCCAATAGTTATCCGTAAGTTTTGGGAGTATGGAAAGACAAATAATAATAAAATAACTAATTTTCTATATTATAGGATAATAAAGGTAAAGAAATTGGATAAAACAAGGAAGGATAATTAAAAGAAGGATAGTGAATATAGAGAAGAGAAAATATAGCAAATTCTAGTTTAAAAACAATATGAGACAAAATGGAATAGTTTCGTTAGGACTTTGTAAGGATTTAAAAGATAGATGAGTTTAAAAAATGAAGAAAGTAAGTTCTGACTAAGTCACGTGACAGTTTGAGTGAAGAATTAAAGATCAATAGTTTATTTTAAGACTCTGAATTATACAATGTAAACTTTATTTATAATTTATAAGCAAATACAAGGAAAGAAATAAACATATATAAAATTTATTTATAGACAAAATAAAGATTTTATTAAGAAAATAGAGAAAATATAAAAAGAAATAAAGAAAGTAAAGAAATCTATCTTATGTTTACTTAAAAACTATCTAAAGGATTAATTATAATTTAATAATTACTAATTGATTATTTGTTCTATATTGATTATTAATTGATTAATTTGTTATTATTATACATGAGGAAGAAATATTAAAACTACTTTTATAGGTATTTCAATTCTATTAATTCTATTTTAAAAATATAAATTAATCTATCAATTAATTACATGATGAAAAAAGAAAAAAGAAAAAAAAAGAAATAAAATAATAAAATAGACTCAATTCTAATCTTACTTAGCTTCTTGGTCACAGTGGAAGTGATAGCAATTTAAAATATTTGTATCTTTACCTTGGTGAGTGGTCTTTCGCTAGAAAGAGTAGTTACCATTATACCTGCCACCCAAATTCAAAATCCAAATGCCGAAATCCCAAATGCCGAAATCCCAAATCCCAAATCCCAA